ATCTTTTACTTTTATAATTTTTAAATAAAAAACCTCGAGTTAAATTCGATAGGAATAAGATGAGAAGAGAAATACCTTGAAATAAAAGAAAAGGTGGGGCATGCAGGCCCTATTTGACTAAAATTTAAAAGCATACATTTCTAAAAGCTAGGTCAACTTATCTATACCATTCACAAATGCTTCAATCACATTGATACATGACATATAAACAAATGAAACATATTTTATTTTAATATAACTATAAATTCATGATTTTGTTCATTTTATAAAAACATTAAAATTTCTCTAATTTTTAATTTTTTAAAATTTTGGGCTTTAGGTCCATAGGGCTCGCCCTTGCAAGCTAGTGCCTAGGCCGGCCTACGCCGGTTGGTGGCCGGTGCCCGGCACTAGCCTAGTTGGCCTCTAGCTAGTGCCCAACACTTGCTTGGCATCCTCGTATGCTTAGAGGGCATTTTCTTGGCATGCGTGAGGCACGCTTGGCATGCGTGTGGCATACCTAGCTTGGCCATTGCCCTAGCATACGCGAAGCACGCCTAGCCTAGAATGCTAGGCGTTGGCCTCGCGCACTTCCTCTCACTTTCTAAAATTAGTTTGTAAACGATTTATAGAATTAAAAAATCAACAGATTTATAAAAAAAATTAGTAATTGATGTACTTAATTAAAATTAACATTAATATAATTAAAGATTCAACAGAGGGCCCTAATATCAATTGAAAGAATCATGCATCCTATGAAGGTACGGAATAAACAAAAATTTTGTTTCCTCCATCTAAAGTTTTCAAGATCAATTTGAATCAACTAACTATATTAGCAATAAGATGATTAGGGGTTACCTTTTATAGTGCATAAATCAATTTACAAAAAAATTCATCTAAGCATTCGATCTCTATTGATGATCGTCCAAGTATTCGATCTCTATTGATGATCCACACGAACTTAAACAATCATATAAGAAGTAAAAAAATCATAGAGTGCTAGCTCCAATCTTTTATGTAAAGTAAATTTTCTCTCAAAATCTCTCAAAGGGTGGCACACATTATGCTATAGAGAGGTTTTGGGTTTTAGAATTTTTAAGGAGAAAACACACTTTTATTTTCTTTTTATTGTCTTCATCGTCCTTCTCTCCCTCTCTCTATTTATATATGTAACAACTTCTCCTTGTAGGTCAAGGATATGCAACTCATATGAACTTATGTGATCTTATCCTTATAAATCTTAAGCCTTATCCTTTAGTGCTCAAGATCATCCATCCATCAAAAATATCTTGTAGGCTTTTTAATCAAACCTATTGACCCAAACTACTTTGGCTCAATTATTCACCAATTAATTTTAAGTTAGATATTTTTAAGTAGGCCCACATTAGAAAATAATTTTTCAAATTATCCTTTAATCTAAACTAGAAAACTAATCTCCATTTTAGGTAACTCGTCTTTCAAATTAGGAAATTTATTTCCATTTTAGTAAATTGATTTTCAAAATAGGAAATTTTTTCAAAACAAGAAACTTCTTTCAAAACCTTCGCTTTTCTTTTATCATGTGAATATTTAAATTTATACATGTGATTAAATAAGCTTATAAATATGTTGGCAATATATCAAAAAGATAAAAGACACATCTTTTATCTCTTGATACATAAATCAAGATTGGTCTCTAATAAGGCATCATGAGTACTTAATTATCTAGAAGGATTAATTAATCTGCAATTACCTTTCACAAGTATGGTTTTTATACAATCCAGTCTTTATGTCAATTTATCACAATGTGATCTCGAACTTGGTTTATAGTATGTTCGATTATGATCATATAAGTTTTCTTTGATCTCCAAATGTCTTAGCTCTCAAATAAACCAGTTATGCTCTACTCGGTATACTTTCATTTATCGAAGTGCAATTTGATAACTAATTTAGCATATAAGGAATAACATATTCTATCTCAATCATCCACCTATCTCTATTAGATTTCTAATGCGCCCAACGAATTGTCCATATGCAGCTCCCATAATGAGATAATCGTGATGACTTCAAGTAAAAAAACTACTAGTACCCATCTCGTATGAGATTCTCATAGATTAAACCAAATAGGTTCTCATAGAGAGTCACGTCCGAGTGATATGTTCTCTAACATTATTCATCCGAGTACATGTTTTGGCATCACCATACTAGTAAATGTGAGATTTCCTACTGCTATCTTATAGCAAGAGTATAACACTTACAAGTCTTACCACAAGCTATCAATATCTAATTTTGACAATGCTATGACTTAGGACATTTAATGATATCATTTACATGTAATGCATTGATGTATGTCTCACATCAATTGATCAATCATTAATGCAATGCATATTATATAGACTTCTATCAAATTATAAATAACAAGAATTAATAAAAAGATTTTTTTTTAATATTTAAAATACAATGATATAATAAACCAAATGATCCAAACGAAGTTGGATTTAGGGCACGTACACTAATACTTTATGAGATTCCATTATTAATTTTGAACAGATTAGCATGTAATAATAAATATCATTATTTTTTACTATAGAATCGTGTTTATTCGCATTTTGTGTTTATATATCTTGTATGTCTTGACATGCCATAACTTTCTATATACAAAACTCTTATAGAAAATCTAATTGTATTTGATATTAAATTGATGAAACTTTTAAATTTAGAGTTTGATGATAATTTAATGAGATTTCATAATTAATTTCAGCTAATGTAGCATGCCGACAATTACATCTTCATTAGTCAAAACTTTTAATTCTTGCATTTGCACCATGCTTGCATTAATCTACACTTCAAATTTTGCACTCTTGTTTTAGCATATTTTCCACATAATATTTTAGATGAGAAATTAATTGGATCCAATATTGGATTGGTGAGACTCCTAGTTTTAGAATCCATCAACAATTTAATGAGTTTCCACAAATAATTTTATAAATTTTATTTCTTCTTTATGTATTTGTCAATCCTTCGAAGTTGTGATATTTAGAGTTGTTTTTGTAATAATTAGTTTTTATCATTTAATTTATGAACTTGGCAAGATCGCCAAAAATCCTAAACTAGACCAGGTGATCATAAAACCCTAAGAAGGATCAATTTTTAGACCTTATCCAAAAATTAAAAGGAAACAGGTCTTTGAGTCCGGTTTTCAAACCCCGGTCATTTTGATTTCCAAAAACCCGAATAAATAAATATGATAAATTATTTTTCAAGTAATTTTAAATTCACTTTGATCTAACTAAAAAATAAACTCACAAATAGGCTTAGAACTAAATAATTTTGTATGGAACTAGTGTATTTTAATGATTCTTAGTCTCTAAAGAACTAAAAGGCAACTCCGTTTTTAATTATTTTATTCCAAAAGTTTCATATGTTAGGTAACGACACCAACAAATTTCAATTTTCATTTTTTTTTAGTAAGAATGATTTTTAATTATATATAAGTATTCATAAAAATATATAACACAATTCAATTTTTAATATTATTTGGTGTATTATAAAGGATTCCAAATATTTTTTTAATCTTAAATTTAATAGTTAATTAGTAATAATTTTTTATTTTTAGATATATTTTTAAACTTTTATTATATCGGAACATTTTTTTGTCATGAAATATACTTACATAGTTTTGTTAATAATATTATTAAATATTTTAAAAATAATAAATAATATTAAATTATACTAAAATTAATTTAATTGTTCTTTTCATTAGTATAGACTCTTCGATACAATCTTGATAAATTAAAAATATTTAAAATTAATGTCAAAATTTATATTGCTCACACTATTTAGAACAAAAATATTTATTGTTTGCTAATTCAAAAAAATTAAATAATTCAATATTACTTTAAACCGAATTTTATTTGAAACAAATAATTACAATTAACTATCTTTTGTTATAATTAGTACTTGAACAGTTTGAAAGATTAAGTAATTTTAGTAAAGATAACAATTTAAAATTCACCATAAACTTTTATCGTATTTTATGAATAATGTAAGGAAATTATTGTTCCTTCTAAAATATAATTAATGGTTATTATTACAATATGAATTGATAAAAAAGAAACAATTGTTCTTTTTAATCTCCAGTTTAAAGAATATGGTATCATGTATTATGCTAAATTTTCTGGAGCAATTTTATATAAAACTATAATGTGTTCAAATTCTAAAGTTATAAAATGCAATTAAAAATCATAACTAAAATACAAATTCATCTGCTCGTCTTCGCTATAAGTTCCCGAGAAGAGTTTTGTTTTTCGTTCAAATTCTTCAGATCGATGAAAAGACCTTTTTTCTATCCCAAAGGTCAATTTCACCTTTCGTTATTGTCAAAAACATATTAAAAACAAATTGACTCGATTATTATCATTGTTATTTTTTCAATAGCTATTGTACAAAAATAGTGCCCTCTCGCTAGGTCTCAAGATCAATGATTCAAGGCTTGTCAAAATGAGATCTTTTTTGGCAATATGAAAATAAAATTTCCAAAAGTCCCAACTGAAATTTTTTCCAAAACTACAGATATAACAAGGAATTTTCCTTGCTTTCGGCAAGCAGTATCTTTGGCAAATTGCTATTCTAAGTACGTGAAAATCGTTAACTAAATAGTTCGTTTAAAATGCTTTTGTTTTCTTATCTTTTTGAGTGGACAAACCTTTAATAATTATCCTAAATATCGAATAGTAACAGTGAAACAATTACACATAACTTGTTACCTACATAGCTCATTTTTCTGTCCCTTCCTGCAAATTTTTGTGTTGTTTTTATTCTTCTCTGCTTTCCATTTGTTTCCCCATGCTTGTATTCGGCATACAGAACTAACAGAAGACATTGTTCCCTTTTCTTAAGCCTTTAAGATCAGAGCCATCCCAAAACTTTTAAATCGCTCTCTGCTCTATTCCTATATTTTCTAGTGCCTTTATGCTGCAAGATGTGAGGGGATTAGCAACAGGGGGAAAAAACAAATTAAATTAAAATTTACAATTTTGTCTCTACTTCTTTAACTCACAGACTTTCTGTGATGGCTTGTTCACAGAAGGAACATAACTTACGAATTGAAAATTACAGGCCACTTCACTTGGGCCTCCTCCTACAGCTGAATCTAAGTCTCCGCAGGGTAGCTTTGGAAGTTGTTCCAGCAAATCACTACCTTGGCTTTCCATTACTACGAAATTGCTGTCTTCCATTTTAGCACCATAGTTGTTAGAGCAAAATTTTCTGTCAGACTGGACACAGGGCATTCCATCAGAACAAATTCCTACTTCAGATGAATGGTTAGTTGCCATGGGTGGTGCTCGTCTCAGTCCTCCAACACCATCATTGGTTTCCCTTTCACTACTAGTTTCAGATTCTTGCAAATTCTGACTTTCAACATGTTGGAGCTCTCCTTTGATACCAACTTCATCAGGGCAGCTGTTCCTGTTGGATTGCTGCATCAACCCGGTGACATGCTCCTCCATGGGGCAAATAACTACTTCAGTTAAAGCTGCCACATCACCAAAGTCTGAATGGCCAAAGAAAATTACATTGATTTCTAAGAAAATTGGAGATGATCAACAGTAACTTGGGTTTCTTTTGAAAAGGGAATGAACACTCACCTGATTGCGTATCTACTTCTTTTGTTTTATACAATTGTTTTTTCAACAATACTGTTCCAGGGAACACCATGAAGTTTATCTTGTTCAGACTTCGCTTCTCATCTTTACTCACCAGTGTGAAGCCAAAACCCTTAGTCCATGTCTCAACTAAATCCGGGATGGCAGATATAACAAGCTTCTCCACCTCAAACGAAGTTAGCATCTGGGACCACCATCATTGGGATTAAAAGGGAAATAAAATAGAAATGTACATCACAATTAGGCTTATTATATGAGCAATCAAAAACTAAACATGCAACAGATATGTGTAAACTGTGACAACTTGAAAGGCAACCACACAAAGGTGATGACAACACATGCTACAGAATATAATGGATAACCAGTATGGAAATGACAGTGATGAGCAAAACAAACTAACAAAACAGCACTTAAAAAACTAGGTGCCTTGAGAGCCATTGAAGTACTACAAGGAACATCTGAAATGACATTGGTTAGGGTCAGAAGGATATGATAGCCAATAAATTTATATAGAAGAGGACCATGAATAAGCAGCATAGCAAACATGCAGGCAACCCATACAAGTTCAGAGATAAAAGCTCTGATGGCATTGAAATTGCTTTTCTAAAATCCAATTAAATACAAAAAATGTTAGATCAGTGATTAGGCCTCGTCACACAAAATACAGCCCCAAATCAATAAATATAGATAAGTAATATCTTCTTTTTTCTGAAAAAAAAAAAAACATTATTCACAGATATATGATTGATACCTAAGCATGGGTTTAGTTTGAAAATATACCTCCTCAATAGCAGTCAGAAGGCGTCGACACATCCCCTGGCGGCGGTAGTTACTGCAAGTTGCAATGAGGGGCATTTCTGCAACTTTTACCCCATGCACCCTGCAAAAAGATGAAATTTTAGTTGCAATATAAAATTGCAGACAAAGAAAATGCAGGATGAAGAACCCAACTCTCAAGATCAGCTAGTTCTCAAATACACTAACATGTATGAAGTACAAAACTTTAACGAAAAGTTCCTTCACTTAAGAAAAAAGGAGAAAAGCTTATAGGAGATGGATTATTCAGGAAACATTCATCTTTGCATTCCTATTAAACATAAAAGGCTAGTGGCGAATTATATATTGCATATTTAGTAATTATGTAAGCTTTCAATTACCATACACTAGAATAAGCATTATTATGACATGTATAAGAGACTATATTATAATGTTTTCAAGAAAGATGAAATAGTGAGGATGAAACATGTGGAGGATAACAGACCACGCAAAAGTTTTCAACTCATAGGGAACCTAATCCTTCCAAATATGGTTTAACAAAGTGATATAAAATTGGTGGAATAGGTAGGTGGGTAAAAGAAGATTTGCATCCGTCAGTTACTCTACAAGCTTAAACCATTAGATGGGGAGTTCTGAATACTATTGATGGCATAAATGATGCAAGATTGCCTAAGAAAGTGAAAGATTAGGGCCTTTCTAGCATAAAAAAGCTGGAAAGGCGATTATGGTTTGAGAACAGAAGTTGGAGATTATGAGAGTTTATTAAGAGAATAGCATGCAAAGAGGCAAAGGAAGAGAAAGAAAGAGAAATGCACAAAAATAAGAAATAGGCAATCATGTCATCCAAATAAGCTAGAGTAATCTTATTCCATAAACTAATCTCAATCATACATCAAATCCCAAATTTTAAAACCTAAATGATAAAGATACCTTAAGGAATAAGAGTGACTTCAGTTTACAATATTGAGAAGGTTTGCACACTACTGAAAGCTTCAAGAGTCTACAAAACCAATTCATCATAAATGAAGTTTCTATTCTTGCGCCCTCATTGGGACTTATACATTGTAGAGGATGTCAAGGAAAAATATATCATATAGAAGATACTGCTTCTCTTTGATGGGGAATCAAGAAAGTGAACAAAGGGAATTAGTATTTGATTATTTAGGAATTTAAATATTTTACAATTATTGCAAATATTTTGTATTTTTAGGAATATTACTATTTTATATATAGTACTTAAATTAGAATTTTAGTTTTCTTACGGAAATAAGAGTTATTGGGTTTCCTATTTTATTTGTTTGGACGCCTACCTGAATTTTGATTTTTTTTGTTTTTTTTTCAAGATTGAGTGTCTCTCTAGTTTTAATGATCTTGTTGGTGGTTCTACATCAGTCTCTATTGTACAAGCCTCCTCACCTAAGAGCCTTTTATTGTTCTCCCTGGGATGATTTCTTTTCCTGGCATTAACAACATAATTGCATAGCAAACCATGAAAAAACAACCCCTTCCTATAAAAGAATAATAAATTAGCAACTCAAACCCCTCAAAGCCCTACTCTTTTCTTGCATTATCATGTTTTAAATATCCCAAGTTGTCGTCTTCGAAGGTCTGTGGAAGTTACAACTATTCAAACTCCCTAAAAATCCTAAGCCTTTGATCTGTTCAAGCGTTGCCATGAAACTGCACCATACCCCTTTTCTAGCACCTGTAGTAAATCAGAAATCCAAGCTTCCTCAGTTTCAGCCATCATTAATTATCAAATTAACCTTGGAACTCCATTCTTAACTTTGACCTTTAAAACTTATCATTTTTAATAGGTCAAACTATAAGCTGCAAACCCTTTCTTCTACCATCCCAAAATCTAGGAGTCTCTAACCCAACCACCAGATGATGGTAGACAGGTTTGAGATCTCCCACATATCATGAAAGAAGTTTCATCAACAAAATATAGTACATAAATAAGGACAAAACCTGTCAGCTGAAATTCTAGAAATATTTCAGCATCAAACATAAAATCATAGAATCAAAGGAAAAATACTTAAAACTAACATAATTACTATAGGCATGATTCAACTTCTGAAATGTCACATATTATGAGCAAATAAAGCATATCACCTGACAGATGCTGCAGATACAAGTACATCATCTTTCTCCAACACCACAGTGTAAAACCCATAGAAATTTAGACGAGCAAAATCTGACCTGAAGATCACGCAAACAAGGAACCAAATGATGACAATAAAACATCAAGTGCAATCATATTTTCTCTAGGAAAGGATTGAAAGAATTTGCAAAGACATGCATGAAAGATCATTTATAATCATCACTTCTACTCTCTAAATACAGCAAACTAAATTACACAAGGACTCTCTCTATGATATGAACTTTATGAATTAAGGGCCATAAGCTTTCTTATCGTTCTGCTTGCTAAGCATTCTTTTAGGATAGGCAACCTCTATCCTCACTTTTCCTGATCTGTCATGGAAGGAGGCAAGGGAATGCTTATATAAAAAACTAGATACATGAGACTGTTTTATATTTTAAATTGATGATTACGCCAGGATAATCTCCATCCATAGACCAGATATAAGCTCACAACCCTTGTCATATAACAACATAAATTTGTTGGCATTTATCAAAAAACTTAAAAAGTTGCAGTCCGTTACAGTGAAGCATGTCTAGCTCAATGCAATATAGACAACAAACTAAATCCTCATTCTCAAATAGTGAGCAAACTTTATGGAAGAGAGTATGATCAAACAGATAAAAGACAAGCTGCTTTCTATAAAATTAAAGAGATTTATCCGTAGCAGTGGGGATCTGAGTCACATGACTTCCCAAAAACGTCTTACACATTTGCACCCCATTTAGCAATATTCTTGCAGGCACTTTCAACCACTATCTCTCTTGACAATTTATGAATCTCTCTCATCTCGTGCCATTTTGTCTCATTATCTTTATTGTCTTTTTAACTGAAGCTAAACTTGTAGCACCTCCAACACTCTCCAAAAACCTTCTCTCCAAACATCAAGTTGACTGCTTTTGGCAGTTTTTCATGAATATATATTTTAAAATTGTCTAACGCTGGCAAAACAAGACAAATGATATTTACATAGGATGCCTATCTTTTAACAGAAGATACTTGAAAAGAAAAGGACTGGAAATGACAAGGCACTCACCCCCAATTGTATAAAGCATGGGGTATCATGTCTATGCCTGTTCTTGGATCTACCATAGATTGAAAGCATTCCTCCATAATGGTAAGAGCAACAGCCAATTTTGAGTTGCATTCTGCCTTGAGGGCAAGTCTTTGAGCAGAAACAACCTTTTGATCTTCATGAATGCATCTAAGAAGTGCCCAACAAAAGCCATCAGCTAACTGATTGCTGATCCCAACACGAGAATGAAGACCACTGTACACCTGCAAACACCAGGGAACCAAGTCTTTAATTAGGAATCAATAAAACTGGCAAACAGATACAATGAAAGCTAATTGAGCAGACACAGCATAACCTACAAACTAAAGGCAAAATTATGATCAATAAACAAAGGGTTCATTATCTTTACCATGAAATTATTTACATTGGCATTTTATTAACAATTACTAGAACAACGTAGAAACATTGCAATAGAACAACAAGGACAGGAAAAAAATAGTGATAAAACATTTAAAAAAAAAATGCTAAATTTGTAGAAGCATCTAGGTTCGTTCAACACTAATGACAGATGCAAGCAATAACTTTCCTAAATCAACATTACAACATCATAAGGCTTAGTACGAATCAGGGAATTAATGTTTTCCAAAACAAGTGCTCTTTTATGTCTGGCTCCAGGAAATCAGAATAAGAGTCTGCACTTTAATTGCTACATATCAAATTTATGAAAAACATTAAGTTATTCACGAGAAATAAAAGAAACAAATTAAGATGCGTGTTATGTCAGATACACAAGATCGACATACTAGGATGCAATAATTAATCACTCTTAAAAACCTGAAGCTTCCACTCCTAAAAGACTTCCATTTGACATCCAACATTACTTTACAAATTAACTAACTTCCAAAATGAAGCCAAAGTACCTCTTGACAGCTTCCACTACAAAACCAAGTATCAGAAACCAGTCCTTCATATATTTGTTTTCCTTGTTGGCATGCCACATGATCTGTAAAACATATAATCACCTGGTAAATTAGAAACTCAAAATATTTTGGAATAGGGTAGCTGAAGGAGTACAAGTCCGCTTACCATTCTGAAACACTATGTTAGAAATCAATTATCAACCAAGAAGAAGAGAAATTCCTAGTGATTAATAGGACAGAGAACCAGAAACAATTGCTTACTAACAGAGATTATGACAAGCTTATCTAGCACCACCCTATAAAATAATACAAGTGAAATAGCTCCTCACTATATACATCTGGAAATTATTTGATAGGTTGGTGTACAAGACTTATTTTTAATGAAAACAAATGCATTAATTTAATACCTAGATTTTCTAGGATAGAAGTTCAATCAAGCTCTCAGGAAGTTGGCAGAAAAAGTGCAGTGTTGAAAAAGATTTGATCTAGAACAAGTTTTGAAACAAAAAATCAGTGTCATCACCGTGCCATTCTGACAAGCTTTTCAACATAATTGTCTACAACAGTAAGCAATATAAAAGTTTCCCAATTACACATAAGAACCAAATCTAGTTCTATTCTAACTTGCATGTCCTGAAAAAATAACTTCAAGCCACCATTATACTCAGAAAGCACCCACTCTAAGAAGTATGGGCTTTAATTTCACATACAATACATACTTTAACATGTGCATCCTAAGTCAATTTTCATGCCATACACAGACTTTGCAAGAACATATAGATTTAATAAAAAAGAAAGAAAAAAAGCAAGCTAAAGAATGGAGCTGGGAGACATACATTTATGCTCACATTGCGAACATTTATAAGCGCAAAGAGAACTTGAAGCCTCTTTATCATTGACCAGATCCCCACATATCCAACAGGTGCAGTTCGGGCAATACCAACTGCCTTCAGGGAGCTCCTGAAGTACAATAACGAAACAAAAGGAAAATTGTTGATTTAGTTCCTGTATCTTAGAATGAAAACAATCTTAACCCCAAGGGAGAAGTCATTATGCTCGTGTGTAACTAGTCATAATGGCCTCCATAAAAACCAAACTCTACAATTAACATGCAGGTTCCACTACGTGCAAGCTTTCCTCCATTATATTCTGTCTTAGAACTAATCATTTGTGAACTCTTACGACAATAAGGACATCAATCAAATATATAACAGGATATGAACTCTTCCATGCAAGTAAAGCTTTCATTCATTATCATGTCCCTCTCTTAGCTCATCGTATTGTTTGGAATCCAAACAGGAAAAGCCCATAATTATTGCTATTGAAAATGCTATTTTCTTTCCCAAAAGATTTGACAACCAAAATATTAAGAGACACTAATGGCAGTATCAGTGCATCTGGAGACAACTCAGGCTGTTTATAGTTCCTAAGCAGTCTGTCAGAGACAAAAAAGAACAAAAAGAAACAGGAAACAATCAATTATAAGAAACAGAAAACTATGGGAAAAAAATGCAGCAAAAATATGCTGGAAAAGCAAACGGCAAACCTCTGCACACAAACAGGCTTGATGAAAAGTAGAGGGACAGTTATCACAGCAAATCAACTCCCCACCATCACCACACAGTCCACATGAATCATCATTCTTATCATCTTCATCAGAGCGAACCACTATGGTACCACTTTTCCTGCTCTTATATTCAGCTGACCATGCTTGCAGCTGACATAAAGTAAAAGGCTTTCCAGATTCCATGAAAAGGTTTGAACATGGTCGGCTAAGCTTGAACCCAGCATGACTCTTAAACTTGGAAACTGAAAGCACCATATTACAGCACTTACACATGATGCCATCCCTGGTGACCAAACCGTCTTTAATCACAAAATCATCTTTTAGATTCCGGTACTGGACGACATCGTTTACAGACAAGACCCCAGCATTTATCAACCATGACAGAACCGTCCTAGATCCCATTCCTGACCACTTACCACATACGTAATGCTTTCCCAGTTTGCGCAGATTTCTTGGGAGTAGCCTGCAGCTGCCCTTTTTCCGTTTGAGCTTTGTGCCAGCTCTTAATTTGCAGGATTTCTTTTTAGAAATAGATCTGATGGCACCTTGGCTTAAATCTTTGTTTTTAATAATGGCTGCAATCAACAGATCATCATCATCAATTTGGCAGCCAGTTGGTTTCTTTTGTCCATGTTTGGGACCATCACTATTGCGACGTGTCCTCTTTAATTTCGTACCATTTTTCACCACCTGATGCAGGCAACTAGCCAAAGGCGAGGACTTCATGTAGCTCCTTTTAGTTCTTTTGATAAGGTTCTCCTCAACTTTGTTCGACTCTAATGGATTGCCAAGAACATCAATATTTTCACTTTGGTATAATTTGGTTGATCTGATTTCTGATATTTTTCTGGACTTTCTACGCATCTTCTTTTTCATAGCAGCTTTATCCCTCGTTTTGAACCTTGAAGCTTGAATGCACCGTAAACCCTCCTCTTCAATGAATCTAGATCGCTGCATAACTCCTGAAGTCACAACTTGAGCAGAAGTTGGCTCATCATGGTGGGAGTCCATATGACCAGTGCCATCATCTGGATCAACTAAGTTGCTGTCTTGATGAGGGGAAACAGATTCAGACACCCCATGCACAATAATGTTCCCAGCATTAACGGGAAAATTATTACACTGGCAACTATACAACTGAGCAGAAGTGCTCTCTGTTCCACAAGTTGGCACGTCAGTCATATCCACACTATCTATCTTGTCCTTACACATGATGCAAGATTGATTTCCCATCCCATCGGAACACATGCCTTCTCTGTCATTCATATGAATAGATACACCTGTGCAACCTTTCACCATAGATTGTTGTCCACATTCTGAGAACGTCCTGTTGCCAGATTGTTCATCACAGTCCTGGTAGCTTCCTTCGCAAATTGTTGATGCACTTTTAGTGGCCAGACAAGAATCACCATGCCAAGCCAACAAATTTTTCTGAGCAGACTCCTTTCCAATGCCATCTTCATTTTTCACATTTCTATCATTCACTAAGCTTTGTGCAGCTTTAACCATACATCCCTTTCTCAGTAAGCCAACCTTTCTATCAATGAACACAACATTAACAAAGGGATCTAAAATACACCACTGATGTGCCAAGGCTTTAGCAAGATCTGAGTTATGCATCTGTTTCTCAATATTAGTCAATGTATCTGAGAGATCAGACCAAAAGTGACTTATATCACCCCATTCCTTGCCATTGTCTTCCTGCACCACCTTGTATCCATTTGCAAACAAAACTTGACCACACAGCCTCCACACTTTAGGGAAATCACGAAATAATCTTCCTTCAGGTGATTGATAAATAGACTCCATATATTTCCGACTAGGTCTCTTACGCTTTCCAATACACCAACCCATAGCTGAAAGTAAGCGAGCAATATGACTTTGGAGAAAAGGACGAGGGTCCATCTTAGAATCCGCCTTCGAGATATTGGAGACATCTAATCCTGGCGAATCAAATTCCTTTGCTCTTTCCTCTGCATTTAAAGGGGACCCCGGCTTCCCTACAATATCTACAGGACTTGCAAGCAATATCCTTGTTGCATAGCTCTCTTGGGAAACAGGTGAAGCAATAGCTTTGCTAAAAGCCATCTCCTTGCCACCAACACCATCCGAGTTTGGCAAACTGCACTTCAGAACATCTGGCTCACGCACATCACCTTGTCTGCCTATTTTTGCATGTTGCTTTAACAGATAGCAGGTAGATATAACACCCTGAGAGGATGATTCAACTAAATGTAATGGTACTGTTTGGCTCGGCAAGTCCATATCTGCAGCAGGTGTACCAGTAACAATCTCTTTAGGTAGTAAGGACGAACTCAGAACTTTCGATGTATCAGGTTCAGTGTTGGAAGGTTCATCAACAGCAAACTTCATTCGCTTGATAGTCTTATTCTGGTTATTGCCCTCCGCAAAGGTAAATCTTCCTGTACAACCCGAAGCAGTAGCCCCTGTAGAACTCTCATTCACATCAGAATCCTCGATTGGCAAACTTCTAGGAGAAGACTGAGTAGTGACAGCTGAGTATTCATTGTTAGTACATAGCAAAGTATCTGCAATCCTACAGTCCTTGCTCTTTAAATTAATAACTCCAGTACCAATACTCCTCTTACCTGTCCCAACAGTATCTTTGCCAAAGAAAACATCTGCAAAAATACGGTGTTCTTGATGTGATCCCTCAAAGCCATCGCCCCGAAAATCCTCAACTGCTGAGCTGGTCATCACTACAATCTGACCAGATTCCTAGATTCTCCAAACTTTTCCACGCATATAACTAGAGACAGTCTCCTGTGCAATCCTAGGTGAATCACAAATATGTTCTCAAGACAAATGCAACATCCATTCAACGATACAGCTGGCAAGAAACAATAAAAACAAAAGGAGTAAATAGATGGCAGCATTAGTAACCAAACAATTATGCACTCCTATAAAAGCTTATATTGACTCACAACTTCTGCTAACTTACTTAAAGTTTACATTGAGGAGGGATAACATAAAAAGTAAAAAACAAAAGAAAAGCAGATGCATATAAGGTAATGGCATGTTGAACTTTTAAAGTAGCTCTTGTGTCGGCTCTGCACATTCAATTTGTGTGGATGAACTATTCTACAAAATTCCCCTCAAAAGTTGTAAAACCTTGCATTACTTGCATGGAAAGCAATGATTTCCGCTCTAATTGCACAAGGAAAAAAATTAGAGGCATTACAGGAAATTTATGGATTTGCATGGCAAGAATATATTATTGATGGAAGGAGCACCTAAAACAGATCATTTTTAACCAATCCTAAGTTTATGAGGAAATACAAAGAAATAATCAGGTAACCAAATGCATTTAATAATTTCCATGCAGAAAAATTATGTCACTGACATAACAGCAAAACCAAGATGGAAATCTCTTAAATATTTCAACTGCCCAGATAGGTAGGGGATCATTTTTCATCTGGCCTGCAAGGAGTTAGACCATAAGAAGATAAAGCAACTCCTTTGGCTACATCATCACCCAGTAGACAAAACCCACAAGTACGTGCAAATTAAGAAAAAAATCAAGCAAGAAAAAGGAGGCTTCAATTGTGGTTATGCAAACTGAGATGAGCAACTGCAACTGTCGCATGAATGAATTTTTCACCTAATGAAATCATTGCAGCCCATTTCATAACAAATTGTAACACATCAACAGTTTAAAAAATTACTAGACGTTATCAGCCAGCTTAAAACCATGGAAAGCTTCTTTGTAAACTTGCAGAACCTATTCTTGCATGGGCGGTTTTTACTGTGTAGTTGGATTTTTGCTTGAATGTTGTGTGCATCTATTCATAAATGCAACTTTAGTCAAGGAATAAATACCAAAGGTCGCACCTTGAATGAATTTTATTTGTGAATGCTTACCATAAAAAAGCTAGTAAAAAATGCCTGATTTTCCTACGAGCTTGTTTAGGAAAATTTATGTGGCGAACAATATATGTGATTATTGAAAGGCCTGTTTAGGAAATTTACGTGCACAAAAATGTCAATAGGGTGCTGATCTTTCCAATCTGGTGCTCTTGAAACTCTCGTAGTCTCGGGTATATTTAATTCTAAATTTTCCTACGACTAGTGGAAAAAAAAAAGGCAAAGCTTGGGCAACATCGCAAAATGCCATCCGAGCTCGAATTTAATTGCTAGAATCATCAAATCAAATAACGACCATCATGGGATGGAACTGAAATCCAATGCCACATGTCGGTAATTTATTTGTCACAATTGTTCACAACAGTCGTTGCCATACTAGTAACAAATTTGGTGAATGTTGCAACTGTTACATGTGCATGTTGTGGTGCTGTGGCCATTACCTTTGAAAAAACCTAAATTGTTTAGTTACATTTTAACTTTCAAGTGATTCTGAAATCAGAAGTGTTTTACTAAAATGACTTGGTTTATTTTGTATGCATGACAATTAATATTCTGCAGTGCATTTTTAGATTTGCATAGTGGTTCCATGAACATTAATTTTGAAAAAACCTAAATTAATTGCTTACATTTTAACTTTTCAAGTGATACTAAAATCAGAACTGTTTTACTAAAATGACTTAGTTTATGCTGTATGCATTACAATTAATATTTTGTAGTGGGTTTTTACATTTGCACAGTGCACATCTAAGAAATTTTTAGAACTAATTTTCTCGATAGTTCTTTTGTGTTAATATTTTGACATGAATGGTAGATTTTGGCTTAATCCTTTTTGTTAATGCACGTCTTAGGAATTGGCTCATGCAATTTGAAGCTAAATTGTTAAAATTTTGATCATGTGATCAGGTGAGACATGTACTTTCATGATAATATGATATTTATTTAAAGTTTCAAAAACATAATATAAACACACAGATAAATGCACATATAGATAGAGAAGGAAAACTAACACATCCCGGCATATGAACCAACAAAAGATGACCTAGACAAAGAAACACCAGGCACAACATTTATCGGAATAACAACAAACAAAGGAACAGATAAAATCACATGCTTCTGCCTTACGTGTCTGTATGTATCTCAAATATGCATATTAGATCAGCCGAAAAGATCGACCAGAAAATATGGAACAAATTAAGTTCAAAGATCAGGTATCACCCTAAGAAGAAGAAAAGGACAAACTCTCAACGGTAACTGCCAAATTTGGTGGAAATGTTGTGCCCATTTTTCCCAAGAACCTTTCTTTTATATTCCCTATCTAAACTTTTTCATCACTCTCTTGCTTTATTTCCTAGAGAATTATAGATCTTACTAATCAAATGCTGCATAAAATCTTCAGAGAGCCATGTTACCCACCATCTCCGTTCAACATTCATGCTTCATTGGAGAGGAAAAATCCACATCATATACTGAGTTCATGCAATTCTACAGTTGCGAAAAAATCTGCACTAAAACACGAAACCAATTTAGACAAATATGGAGATGCATTTTAACATCTAGTAAATAACAATTTAACCAGATATTGTATTCATGCAATGCTAGAACGCTAAAAAATTCTGCATTAAATGGAGGAAACCAATTTAGCAAAAATAAAATAAGTGGCTTATTAAAAAGATAAGAAAAAAAATTAACAAAAACAGCTAGGCTTGCCTGAAATTTATAATGTAAAGTCTTTCCTTGTTAAGAAGACAGCAAACAGTATTCACACCACTAGACACACATCAGAAATCCAAGCAACTAAAGCATAGCCGAAAAAGAAAAAAAGCCAATACCCATTTTTGGTCCAAGTGAGTATCTATGAGTGGGTATTTGGAAATAGCTCCACCCTTCAGTATTTTTGTATGGAGGGGCTACACTCAAACTTGCACGATGTGGTCGCAAGCCAAAATATTGTTCCACCAAAGAATGACCTCTAAACTGAAGAAAAGACCAGGCATTCCAGAGTTCCAAAAGTACCAATGCAAGAGATCAAAATTATTAAGAGTATAAATCCAGATACTGAAGAATCCATCATCTACAAATCCCCAAACAGTCCAAATTTTGTAAAAATCCCATAGAAAGATGTTTGGGCTTAGGTCTCAACTCAAACCATAACACCACGTGGGATCTCAATCTTGTGATCAATTCCTACCAATTTGAAATATAAAGGTTCGTCCATTTTTCCCATTACATTTTAATGTAACTTGAGGCTTAAGGCTTCACAAGTTAAAATGTTATCCAGAAGATATAAGTATTTCCCCATGACAATTTATAGGGAAAACCCACAGTTGATCTTGACAGCATCATTTCCTAGCTTATAGCATGCTTCCATGCATGAACATAAATAGTCTAATCTTTAACAGCTGAATCTACTCCAAAAGGAAAATCTTTTTATTTTTGGTCTTGTTCACCGATCGTAGTAATTTGAGTACTGCTGAAGGAAAATAAGAAGTAAAGGACACAACCAAGAAGTGACAAGATTTAAAAAGATAACTTATCTGTTTGGAATAAGGGTCTGTTCAGTACTGAAACAGAGTTTCACTCAAAAAGAGAACACATTGGGACCGCAAAACGCGTTATGCCTCATCAACTTTATTATTACCATGTAAATGGCTTCCCATTTACATGTTCATAGAAGCTCTAGCATTTCATTTTTGGTGCTTATGTCATTGTGATATACTACATATCCATCCATCAAGTCTTCATCTCCACACTTTCTTCAAGCATTAGAAAGGAAACAAGCATCAAAATGGGACTGGGACTCAAAAATTCATTATTATAATAAAAAAGATCTATGTACTTGAGGAATCTTTCCTCGCAATCAGATTCAGAAAACAAGAGCTATGGTAAGAGCAATTGGTGTGACGTTACAAGCCTTGTTCAAAAAGGCCTATACATACATAAATTTAAAAACAAATGTTTGATATCTAATTAGCATTTGTAAAGAGAGAGAGAGAGAGAGAGAGAGAATGCATGTCAGCAAGCAATAAAAGAAACTATGATGAATTGAATAATACCCAATATTCTTTCTGTTTTGGGATAAATAATGAATGAATAAGATGCCCAAAATTATTGGATTTAACAATCTTACTACAGAAAATGAGACTTATTATTGCATCTTCTGTTATGCCTTCATGTTCTTTATGTGACTGCAAGCCTGAGGTGAATCGATGAGAACTGAATATTGAATGGGCCTTAGTGTTTTATTCATCAAATGATTGGTTTATCTTCGCGATCCAACATGGAAATTCCTTGATCCAGGAAAAAACTGACATGATAAAAGGAACATTAGTATAATGCAGGAAATTTAGGATATCAAAAGACTATTGTAATCTATAAAACTCCAACTACCCAACAACAACTTGAAAGCACTCAGAGATATAGTAACCCAAAAAATTACAGTAAATCCACAAGTTCTCTAGTAGTCACATAATCATATTTATATTCCACACAACTAAACAAAACATGTTTGTGTTCAGATCATCAAGATACTAGAATTTCTACAATTTGGATCTTTCCATAATTGCAGCTGTGTGGATTTCATTCTCTTGCTGGCAAGAAGAAAAGGGACCTTTGAGTAGCAAGAAAAGCCAGAGCTTTAGCTCCTACAATGGTATAATTGACTAATCCAACTTATATAACAGCAGGCGAGGCCTTGGAAAATGAAACAGTGCTACTAAGTGCTCCTGGCGACAATAAATGTAGACTTAGTACACTACCCTCTACCTTGCCCTGCAACTCTCTGTTCATATGCCACGTCATACAAGCTAGATGAATTATCTCTTTTTATGTACTTA